TAGGAAGGCATACACACATATTTCAACAATTGACACATTATACTAATGTAAAGAAAGACATTACATTTAAATGACAGGATACCATACAGGCAATAAAGATTATTTAAAAAAAGAAATTAATGATGTGGGGAAATATTCAGGATAAATATAAAACACCAGCAAAAATATAAAAGTATATATACCTCCTCCCAAGTCTTTTTTATGTACACACACACATACACACACACATGCACACTAACAATCTATTATAGAAAAAATAAAAATTCTTAATTTTGGATGAGTTTTATATTCCTCATTATCCTTTTCAGTATTTAAAAAAAACTTTTTAAAAAAGATTTTGTTTATTTTAGACAAAGAGAGTGAGCACAAGAGAGGGGGTGTCAGAGGAAGAAGCAGACTCCCGACTGAGCAGAGAGTCAGACATGGGGCCAGATCCCGGGACTCCAGGATTATGACCTGAGCTGAAGACAGATGACTGAGCCACTCAGGCGCCCCTTAAAAAACTTTTGTGATGAGAATGTTGTGATGAGATGAAATAAGGTTATTTTTAAAAAGAACACAATACTGAAAAGCCTAATTCTCTCTATTTACCAAACATACATAAATAGTACTTATATTGTAGGCACTAGACTAAGTGGTTCACAAGTGTGAATTAGTTTTTAAGATTTTATTAATTTATTTGACAGAGAGAGACACAGTAAGAGAGGGAACACAAGCAGGGGGAGCAAGAGAGAGAGAAGTAGGCTCCCCGCTTAGCAGGGAGCCTGAAGTGGGACTGGATCCCAGGAACCTGGGATCATGACCTGAGCCGAAGGCAGATGCTTCACCAACTGAGCCACTCAGGTGCCTCTACAAGTATGAATTTGATTAATCTTCATAAGACCCCTAAGAGGAGAGTACTATGATTGTTCTTTTTTTTTTTTTTTTAAGATTTTATGTATTTATCTATCAGAGAGAGAGCACAAACAGGGGTGGGGAGGGCCAGAGGCAGAGGTAGAAGCAGACTTCCCACTGAGCAGGGAGCCCAATGCGGGGCTGGATCCCATGAACCTGAGATCATGACCTGAGCCGAAGGCAACTGCTTAACCAACTGAGGTATCCGGGCATCCCTAATTGTTCCTATTTTATCAATGACAAAGCTGACACGTGTAGATGAGAACATTTGCCCAAAGTCACACAGCTAGCAAGTGGTCTAGGCAAGTTTTGAATGCAGGCAGTCAGACTCTAGAACTCACACGCTTGACCAGATACTGCCTCTCTATAGTTATGGTTAAGTGATGTACAGTTTTTGGTGGGAGATGGTGTGGGTGGGCTCTCCAGGCAACCAGAGAATGCTAGTTAATGGTACATTTTGTTCCCTAATGTCTTACATGCCAGTGCATAAGAAAAAAAAAATGCCTTGGGCACCTGGGTGGCTCAGTCGGTTAAGCGTCCAACTCTTGATCTCAGCTCAGGTCTTGATCTCAGGGCTGTGAGTTCAAGCCCCAGGCTGGGCTCCACACTGGGCATGGAACCTGCTTAAGAAAAAATGGCGCTAGCCTAGATTTCCTTTATTATAAAAATTAGTTCCTAACACATTTAGTGTGCTAGTCTAGGTGTGGGAATGGTGGGTAACGCACAGCAGGAAAAGAAAATGGCTTAATCTCAGGAGCTTGCCTTGTGCATTGATAACCATGAGCATCTGCCCCCAACTGCACAATTGCTCCTGTCTGTCCAGCTGACCCTGACCTCTGGACTGGGACTGGCCACGATCTCATTAAATGAAAATCCTAAAAGCTGTCATAGGCTCTTCAGAGGCTGATAGAGGAGGGGGTCACAGAGGGATAGCTTCTGCCAATTCTAAGGTCCCAGATGTGGCCCAGATGCAGCAGATGCTCCATGAATATTTGATGAGCTAAATGGAGGAAGTGGTGAAGTCTGCAGCTGTCCCCCACAATGGGGGCACCAACCGGACACCCAGATGTGGGAGAGCAGAGGAATGAGCATGGACGCTGAGTTCTGCTGATGACTTGCAAAGAGCTGGAAGCAGCCTTCATGTATCAGTGGCAATCCGACATGCTTCCTGGGCACCCAGACTGTCCTTCTGCAGGACAGCTGCTTCTGGACCTCAAGCTCTTGCTGACATGATTACCTACTGTGTTTAGCTGTTCTGGTGACAGAGGACCGGGGTTTGCTCTAGCCTGGCAGGAAGGGGAAGAAAAGGGCTGTTGGGTCCTTATTCTCCGGCATTAGGGAGGAGCACCCGGCTCAGACTGCACAGCTGCTGTGGGCAGATGTTGCTCACTGTTCCAAGAGGTGAGCAGTGCCTTCCCAGCACGAGAGGAGGGCAGGGGAGAGCCAAGTGGGACACGAAGGGGCAGACCGAGTTGTGACCCCCTTCCTCTGTCAAGCCAAGCTTATCCACTATGGGAAATGAAGGGCTTCCTGAATGTTGAAGGCATCTATAGCCAATGAAAATACACTTCAGAGGCAAGTAGGAACTTTCTTCTAATGATCTGTTGGGCTGGACTCTTCCATGAGAACATTCTTCCTTAGGAGGAGCAAAATTGCAGTTAACTAGCTTTCACAAGAATGACAGGAATTGGTTTGGTTAGGTGAGATCTACCCTTCATGATGGATTCTACCTTCAACTCTCTTCAGGAGGACTAGTGGCAGACAGATTCCCTGAGTGACCACTGAACACAAAAGGCATGATTCCTGTGCAGACCCCCCACTTGCTAGCAAATGCTGTCCTCCCCTGGGGCCCAGAGAGGAACATGGCTTCCTTTCTTGGGCTGGAAACAGATCTTTGCAATGGGATTTAAACTGATACTTGCAGCCTAGATTTGGCCTTCCTTTACTTAATTTCTTGAACAACTACACATTGTATAACAACTATTTATAGGGGACACAAACATATTACTGAGGAACTTGAGGAATTTATAATGTAGCTGGGGAGATTTTTTTTTTTTTTAAAGATTTTATTTATTTATTTGACAGAGAGATAGAGAGAAAGCACGAGTAGGCAGAGTGGCAGGCAGAGGAAGAGGGAGAAGCAGGCTCTCCACAGAGCAGGGACCCGGATTCGGGCCTCGATCCCAGGACCCCCGGATAATGACCCAAGCCAAAGGCAGACACTTAACCCACTGAACCACCCAGGCACCCCTGGGGAGATGTTTTTAAGATACATTACACAACTTAAATCATATTTCAAATCATCAAAGAGATATCCTAATGCAGTATACACAATTTGGTATAAAATGAACACTTCAGCCCACTGAGTAAGAGGGGAAGGAGTTCCAGGGACTGGAATGACCTAGAAGTTTCCTGAAGGAAGCATGATTGATCTGGGCCTTAAAGGATGGGGAGAGAAAGGCAAGAACCAAGGGCAGACATAGAAATGACCTAGCACAGGGGTGGGCAAAATACAACGTGTGGGCCGTATCAGGCCCTCCATCTGCTTTTATATAGGCCATGACCTAAGAATAGTTCTTACATGTTTTTTTTTAAGATTTTATTTGTACTTATTTGACAAAGAGAGATCACAAGTAGGCAGAGAGGCAGGCAGAGAGAGAGGGGGAAACAGGCTCCCTGCCGAGCAGAGAGCCCGATGGGGAACTCGATCCTAGGACCCTGAAATCATGACCTGAGCTGAAGGCAGAGGCCCCAACCCGCTGAGCCACCCAGGTACCCCAGTTCTTACATTTTTAAATGGTTGGTGGGGTGCCTGGGTGGCTCAGTTGATTAAGCCTTTGGCTCAGGACATGATCTCAGGGTTCTGGGATCGAGTCCCGTGTTGAGCACCCTGCTCAGTGTGGAGTTTGCTTGTCCCTCTCCCTCTATCCCTCCCCCCAGCTCAACTCTCTCTTTCTCTCTCAAATAAATAAATAGAATCTTTAAAACATTTTTAAATGATTGGAAAATAAGTAAGATTTCATGATGTGAAAATTACATAAAATTCAAATTTTGGTGTCTATAAAGTTTTGTTTTCATTTTTTTAAAAGATTTTATTTATTTGACAGAGATCACAAGTAGGCAGAGAGGCAGGCGGGGGGGTGGGGGGGGAGCAGGCTCCCTGCTGAGCAGAGAGCCTGATGAGGGGCTCAATCCCAGGACCCTGAGATCATGACCTGAGCCAAAGGCACCCACTGAGCCACCCAGGTGCCCCATAAAGTTTTTTTTTTTTTTTTTATACACAGCACATTCTTTTGTTTGGATACTGTCTACTGCTGCTTTGCACTACAATGGCAGCACTGGGTAGTTGCAACAGAGAGTCTATACTTACTTTCTGGTCCTTTGGGGGAAACATTTGCCAGTCCTGGGCCTCTAATGTCAGAGGGGCAATTAATAGGCTCTTGCTGGAAGGGAGCTTTTGTATGTAGGAAATTAGGTAGTAACGGGTACCCCGGGATCAATTATGAAAGATTATTTAATGTCAAGCTAAGGAATATGAATTCAATCCTGTAGGCAATGAATATGGAATAGAGTTTTATTACCTATATGTACATGGTGCAAAATTCCAAAAGGCTCAAAAGGATATTCTGTAAAAAATGTCAGTTTCTACCTTGAGCTTCAGGTATTCACCCAGACAGCTCCACAGATGTCCCCACTTACTCATTCTGAGGTTTCTGTATAGAGATAATCTTCTATGTACATAAACATGTATGTATATTTTTCTATTTAAAAACCCACAAATGGTAGCATGCTATAAAAGTACTGTTTCTGCACCAGAAACTTTGTTTTAGGTCAGGACAATCTTTATAGTTGTATAATATAGGTGTACTGTCATATTTACTCAGCTTGACCCAGAAGCTACAATACTATTTTAGGATGCTTGGTTGAGCAGAGGGGTTCCAGAAAAACTAGAGGCAGAAGAGCAGGCAGGTGGCCAATACACATATCCAGGAGCCCAGCAGTGAGGGTGGCCTGGCATTCCAGCATAATCCAGAACTCCAGGCTGCTCAGGGCCATTGTGCTGGGGGGGACCCCTCTCCCCGCACTGCTCCCCTGGGGACTCATACCTTAGATGATGTGTCAGGAATGGAAGAAGTGGGAGAACCAGGAAAGGTCAAGACGCATTTCTTTCCCAGGCAGCGACCATGTAACTCAACGTCCTCATAAGGGTTTTCCTTCATTGGCGGATCTATGGTCAAAGGCAGCAAGTCAGGAACTGGAAACATCAAGTAAGTTTGCCTTATCAGGTATCTACCCAACACCTTGGCCTCTCCTTGTGGGGATGTCTGATATCTTGTTACCCATTCACGCCCTTCCTCCTGTACCCAGATTTTCACTGGGATAACTTCCCACATCCTCAGTCTTAGGTCTTAGGTGTACAGAGTTAACTCCATTCTGAGCTGCAGAGCTTTAGCCAATCGGAGTATCGCCAGTCCCTGCCTCAGTGTCTGGGTCAGGGAAGGGCTCATATCCCAAGCTTACGCCAATCAGTGCACAGATTCCTGGGCTATGAAGGTGAACAAGGAACCTAAACCAGTCTCATCAGAGTCAGAGTGAACCTCAGGTTTTTCGTGCAGCACAAGGGTTCTTCCTTTCCAACTGGAAGGTACGGATTCTCCAGAGCTGATGGCAGCCGTCATGGAGATGATGGGAAAGCTGCTGAGCATGGCGCTAACCCGAGAGATAGGAAACAAGGGAGAACAGGCCAGTTTGGGTCACATGAGCCAACAAATGCCCTTGGTACTTCAGCGGGGTCTTCTGTTCTCTGTAACTGAAAGCTGCCCTGTCAGGTACACATGGAAGACCAGATCTCATACCACTTTGGACCTGGGAAGCCTACGGCTTTGGCAGCAACCCACCTCCACAACTTGGACACCAGAATTCCGACTGTCCATGGTGAAATTCATAGTTCGGCTAAACACACACACCCACCTTCTAGTCTCCTGTTTTCTCCCACCACGGAGTCTTCTCTTCTGGTATTGGTGACTGTATGCACATATGCGTGTATCTGCTCTACCTGCCCCTTGCCTGTGGCCGCATGTAGGCTTCTCCTTCTTACCAGCTCCTTTCTTCCCAACTACCCATGCCCCAACAAGCAGACAGTGGGCCCAGCTCCCACCTGTCAGTCAAACTGTGATGTTCCCTGCGGAGGAGTTAACTCACTAATTCAAATGCAAACACACTCTGCAAATCTGAGCTCCACTTGAGAATTTAAAAGAATTAAGGCCAACATTAGATATATTTTTAATAACAGACATTAATCTTAGTCTGAATTTTGATGTCCTATTACTGCCACACTCCTATAAATTCAGGGAGAGGGTGGTGGCCCGAGTTTTCCTTCATTTGGTAGTCCCCACACTTCACTGAGCATCTGTGACACACAAGGAACTTTGCCTCCCATTTTCTCCCACCCCCCACCCGACCAGGCAGCTGTGGTCATCTTTAGTATACAGATGAGAGATCTGAAGTTCAGAGGAGTTAAGGCCCCGGCTCAGTGGCATACAGCTAACACAGCAGAGCCAAGAGTCAGTCATGGCCACCGAGACTCCATGTCTCCAGCGCGTCTCGCCGCACCCTGCCGCCTCTGTGGCGGTTCCTGAGCAGCCTTTCCACACCCCTCCCAGTCCCCGTGCTCTCACATGTCCCTCGAGGGTCCCTCTCTCTCACCTCTTCCAGCTCGCTCATTTATCTGAGTACATGTATTGCTTCGAGACTCTGTGCATGTGCGTGTGTACGTGTGTGTGTGTTTCAAGTACTCAGCCCCATTTCCTCTCTCCCCTTTCTCACAAACTCATTCCCATGCACAGGCACGTGGGCCTCTTACCTAGAATGTCTTCGTAGACGTTCTCCTCAGATAAAGTGCGTGTGAGCCCCAACTTGGTCTGTGCGTACCAGTCCACCCTGCTGTTCTCAGAAGAAGACTGCAGTAAGTCTTCAAACTCATAGGACTTTCTGGTTTGTACAAGATGGGAGAAAAGCAAACAAGAACTCGAATCAAACTGGGCTGGTCCAGAGATTATATACCAAACAGTTTTCTTCCTGCAAACATTTCTTTTACTGAAATCAACTCTGTTCCTTGCAAGAAGGTATGAAAATCCTTAAATAAGAAGTGTGGCTTTTGTGTGAAAGAATGTTTACGCTGTTATGCTGTGTAAAGGTAGCAAAGTGTGTGTATACACACACACACACACAGTCCCAACTTTGGAAGCAATCATATACATAGAAAAGAAGAAGAAGGGAAGGAAGTGAAATATACAGCTACTATCTCGGGAGTGACAAATGGCTCGTGGCTTCTCTTCACTTTCACTTTACTGGACTTTTTAAATACTCTGCAATGTTTACAGAGCACACACTCATGATCGGAAAGGAGCAGCGAAGGCCAGTTCAGAGTGGACCAGAGGTCTGGGCACCTCCCCACTTCTCTCACTGAGTGGTTATTATCCGAATGAAACTCAGAGGCCAGCTGAGACACCTCCCCTCCCCACCTGCCCCTCAGAGATCGGTGCAAGTATGGCTGCTTCTCTGTCCATGGCTGGGCTCACTCTCTGGCTATCACCCTCACCTGTATCCACAGGGGCTGTCCCTGTCCTGCTGGGACTGATCTAAGGCAAAGTCCAGCCCCTTCTCCCGCCCTGCCCCCTTAGCCTCTCACCTTGAGTTTCTTTGATTTCTGAAGCTTCACTGAACATTTGGGAGGCCATGAGGTAGACCATAAGAAGAAATACACAGGACCCTGGCCGCCTCACCGGTTCAGTCCATCTCCTCTTTTTTCTCCTCTCTCCCTATCCTTCTCCAAAGTAACCCACAACCTTCCCCCACCCCGCCCCTCCACCACCCCCCAGTTGGAGCAGAACCACGCTGCCCACTCAGGCTCGGGAGTCCATCTCCAGCAGACCTGTCAAGAATTTGCGTTGAACACACTCGCCTTCCCTGAACAGGAGGAAGACAGGCGTTCGCCAGAGCATGCACGAAGAAACAGGACGGTGAACTGTGTTAAGCTAAGTGACAGAAAAGCACAGTGAGACTGTCAGGAGGCCTCATTTTAGGCTGGGGACGCATCCAGTAAGGCCGTGCTGACAAAGTTACTCATTAAAGCTGAGACCTGGAGAACAGAAGACAGACTTCAGCTGGGGGAAGAGTATTCCGAGAAGAGGAAAGGGCACCTGTGAGGATCCTGCGGCCACAGGGAACTTGGGGCATTTGTGGAGGGGGCACACAGCCATTCGGCAAGGCTGTACCGCAAGGACGGGGTGGTGAGTGCTGGGCGACGAGAGGGCGGAGCCAGGCAAGGGCCATTTGCCCGCCTTCCACGCTTTGGGGTTTCTTGCATTTTATTTTCTCATTTTTTTAAAGCAGGCTCCGCATCCAACGTGGGCCCCAAACTCACAACCCTGAGACCAATACCTGAGTTGAGACCAAGAGTTGGCCGCTCAATTGACTGAGCACCCAGGCGCCCCTGGGATTTCTTGCATTTTATATCTTTCCTTCTTGGCTAGTTTCCTTCTCTCTTTAAACACACACACAGGTTTCCTCTAGAAAAACTTTCCCTGGAAGCAATGACCCTCATAGTCTGTGATTTCTCACCTTCCTTGCCAACAGTTGTAAACTGGCGTGGGTTAGGGGTTGGGAGGAGGAGGGAAGAGCTGAAGCTCTCTGGCTATTCCTTTACTGGAGCTCACTGGTTTTTCTTCCTTTTAAAAACCAGCTCACTGGTTTTCCTTCCTTTCCTGGCCTCTGTATGCATCCTTTTTCTGAAGCTGTCCCCTGAAGCTCACTAGTGAGTTTCTGGTAAAACCTACCCACTTCCTGGAGCCTTTCTGTGGGCCAGGGCTGGTATTCTAATGAGACAGGCAAAGAAATTGAGAGTAAGCATTTAGAAACTTTTTTTAAATTTCTTTTTTTTTTTTAAAGTAATTTCTATACCCAACATGGGGCTCGAACTCACGACCCCAAGATCAAGAGTCACATGCTCTACAGACTGTAACTGCCAGATGCCCATGTTGAGACACTTTTAAATCAATTTGACAGAATAAATTTTTAAAACACAACTGGAACTTGCACAGTGTTGTCTTTTTTCATGTCACTTCTCTGGTCATTCTTTTTTATTGTATTTTACAAAAGTTTTGTTCAGCAAAGCACTGCAAACACAGGCTCACAGGTGCCCCTAGGGTTTGAGGAGCTGGGTGCAAGGCTGCCCACATGCTACTTCTCCCCTCATACAACTTCCGGCGCCTTCATGGGCAGCTCTCTTCCTGGTCCTTTCCCTCTTTCTGGGCTTTGGGCGTATCCCAAGGTTTTTCTTTAGATTCTAAGCTTCGTATCTCCACATCCGAATTCATCACCCCTTATCTCCACTCCACCCTTGTTCCTTCTGATCCTGAGCTCAGCCTGTGGCGTGGCCCAGGAACACAAAGAACCGCCAGGCTTCCAGCTTCCAGCCTCAGTTCCTATGGTTTTAAGTCAGGTCATGAGGCTGAAAACTGTCACTTATGCCCTGGGGGGCCTGACTCATTCACAGGAGCTCAGGCTGTGAAGGAAGGGCTCTCTCTCCATGCACCCCTTCTCCCGCCCCTTGAGGTGTCCAGCCAGGAGAGGAAGGACTGAGCTTCAGAGCTCCAGGAGATGGGGGTCTAGGTGAGTGGGAAGCAGATCTAAGTTGTTTTCTCTAGGGTGGGACTGTGTCGTGCAGTGTGCCCCGGCCCCAACTCCCGAACACTCCCTAGTCAGGGATGCCTCGCCCAGGCTGGTACTAGCCAGGCAGTGGCTTGGGGATGGGGGTGTGGTGGTCTGTGAGCCAGAGCAGAGCAAAGTTACTGGGCTGGAGTGGGGCACAACTCCTGGGTTTTCCCTGCTGAGTTAACCAGATCATATTAGCTAGAGTCCCCAGCACGCACACTACCTAGATTTGGTAAGGAAGATGCAAACTGTTCAAAGAGATCACAGAATCATTCACTCAACATTTACTGAGTAGCGACTAAGAGCTTTACTCAGATTAGCACGTTTGAACTTTGCAACAACCTTGTGAGAAATTACTATTATTATCCATACTTTATACATGAGAATAAAGAGATGGAGAGAGGTTAGATAAACTGCTCAAGGTCACATGGGGAGAAAGTGGTAGAGTCAGGGTCAGAACCCGGAAGTCTGGTGGTGAATGGTGCTCTTAGTGCAGGCACTAGGAGTATGAATGTAAGTCAATATGGGAGGAAACGTGTAGTCACAAAAGGTTTTAATACCTTTATTTACATATTAACCTTGCACAAAAGGGAATTTCAAAAGGCTAACAGTAACCACATCCAAATTGGCTTCTCTCTTGTTTTAAACATTTCCATATTTGTTCCACATCCAGTCCATATGTTTAATAAGCACCTTCTGGGGTCTGAGCTGAGCCCACAGCTGGTGATGCAAAGGCAAGAAGTCCCTGCCTTCGGGGAGTCCACAGCCTGGTGAAGGGGTGTAACCTCCTCTCAGCCTCAGTTTGCTTCTCGGGCCCTCAAATTATCATGTGATTGTGGTACTTCTTAGTTTTAGAGATGCTAGAATGCTCCAATGGGCTCACTGAAGTTTGCTGACAAGAGTTATAACTTAGGTATTATCCCAATTTTGACAACCAATGCCAAATACTGTGATTTCAAGTAGTATCTTGAAGGTTATTCATGACTTTTCCATATTTTTATAAATGAAATACTGTCTTATAAGCTCCTCCCCCATTGAATGACCCACGGGAATCTCAAAATGAATAAATCCAAAATTGAACTCAGCCTCCCACTCTCCCTCCTGGGTGAGGACCAGCTCCTCCTCCAGTGCTCCTCAGCAAAGGCTATGCTATCACCATCTGTCCAGATGTTTATGCCTTAAGCCTGGGAGTCCTGTCCAAATCCCCTTCTCCATTAGCACCCATTTCTAACCAATTAGTTGGAGTGATTTTAACCAATTTGCTGGAGTTACCAGCGGTATTCCCAGTATCCCCTACTTCCCTCAGTCCCCACTGCAGTGAAACCACAGGCCAACCCCAACGTCTCTAGGCTCTGCCTTCCACCCACTGCTACCCACTAGGCCCATTGGTGCCCCTCCCAGTCCGCTTTTCACAAATGCAAATCAGGCTGGGACTCTCTCCTTCTTAAAAACTTTGCCATGTTTCCCATTTGCCTTAGGCGGTAGACCCAAATCCTTGCCTGGTCTATGGGACTCTTCCAGAGCCGGCTAGAGAAGACCTGGGGGCCTCAGCTCACACCCTTCCTGACCCTCTGGACACACTCCTGCCTTCAGGGCCTCGGGCACACTAAATCTTTCTTGCTCTGGGACCTTCATCTGTTTCTCACCTGAACACTCATCTCCACCTTCCTTCTTGCCTGGGAACCTCAGGCCTCTGTGGGAGGGCTGCTTCCTCCCCAATGTGGCCCTGTTTCCAGGACAGGTGAGATACCGCTACTGAACATTCCCACAGTTCCACAAGCTTCCTGCAGCCCTGAGTGCGGTTATAGTTCGTAACTGCAGAGCTGTGTACGTCTAAAGACCACTAGTCTGTGAGGTCCGGGAGACCAGGGTCTCCGTCTGTTCTGTTCACTGCTATACGCTAATATCACAGAGGTGCATGATAAATATTTGTTGGTTGAATAAATGAGTGAATATTTTAAAAGCTGGTTTTAATGGCCAAACTTACTGCTTATAGTTTATCCCTCCAGTGGGGTAAAGAAAATAAGGCAGCTGTATTCTTGGAGCTAATTTTTAGTCAATTGTTTGGAACACATCTCCCCCAGGATTATTCTCAGCTATGACTTAAATGAGCTTGGAGAGCCTGGGACCTAGGCACCACTTCAAACACCATTCGGTTGGGCTGGGAACTGTAAAAACCATGCTTTGATCGCCTCAGCCACCTGCGCTACCACAGACTCTCTTCTTACCTCCGTCCCCAGCAACCACACGCAGCTCTTTCCCCGTCCCACCACGCC